CCCCAAAACCCCAAAACCCCAAAACCCCAAGACTCTAAAATAACTAAAATTAGATCGAGGGTATCAGTGGAATAATTAATAATAGATTTAAACGACAATGAACAGACAAATAAAAAAATAGACCGAATCAGGTCCCATTATAAAAGGAAAAACAAATGAAATAAATGATAAATCTGGCATTTAAAAAGCAGCAGAGTACTCTTTATTAGTGATTATATCAGTTAATCTAATGTACGCAGTTACTTCTTCCGGTTTGACATTCATAAACAAAGCTTTATACACGAATTTTGGCTTTTAAAGCCCGCTTGATCTGCTTTTAATACAATGCTTATGCAATGTAGCTATCTGCACTCCAATGATGATTTACAAAGAGTACAATCCTAAAAGCTTTAAAATCTTAGATAAATTTGGGATGCATGTAACCCCTCTATCATAAGCAGTTTAAAAATGGAAACTAGGAGTGGTAATAGGTCTTGGTAACTTGATTACAGTGGCATTTGGCATTTACTCAGTGAAATATGTTAGTATACCACTCTTTCTAACCTTTAGAAGATGTACTATTCTCACCACCTTCTTAGCTAATTACCTCTTAACAAGAAAAGGGTTAGATTCAAGAACTTATCTTAAGCTATCACTCATAACAATAGGGGCCATAATTGCAGGACTTGACACCTTCAATCGTGATTGGTTCGGATATGCACTCATTTGGATGAATAATCTCTCTTAGTCTGTCACAAATATTTTCAATAACAAAATAAATAATCAGAAGATTGTGACTACTTTTGAGATGAACTTTTTCTATGCTTGGGTGGGCTTGCCATTGCTAACATACTACGCTGTATATACTGGCGAGATAAAGTAGCTCTTTGATGTGCTTTAAATTGAAGACCTGACTTATAGATTTAATTTCCTTTCTTTGCTAATTTTGTCAGGGACACTAGGGATAACAATAACTCTGAGTACTCTTTTAGTAGTCAATCTTTGCAGTCCTTTTATGCTCAATATCAATGGGAACTTTAAAAACATCTTATCCGCTGCTCTAGGGTTTGTGATGTTTAATGACTAGAAACCCACATTTCTAGTAGTATCAGGAATATTAGTTGGATTTATGGGGAGTTGTCTCTACGCTTATGATGAACTTATGTAATTAAGATTAAAACGAAAGACTAAGTATGATTTTAAGAAAGAATGACCATAATTCTAATCATAATGACGGTATAAAAATAAGTTTACGATTTTCATCAAATTAAGATTATCATGATTTTGAAAATAATTTGATTATTATTGTCATCTATATTAACCCGCGGGGTTTTGGGGTTTTGGGGTTTTGGGGT